AAAAAAAAACTTTAAATCCTAAAAAATGTTTTGTATCTTTGTTTTTCCAAAAATAAATTATTGATAAATATTAGACTGGGCTAAAGAATCATTTAACAACAGACATAACTGTTATCATTAGCCTCTATTAAACTGGCCAAGAGGAATGCCAATAAAGCACATTTTGTCCAGCAATTAATGTTACTATCATCAACAGAAACAAAGCGCTTTTTTCCACACAGTTAATCAAAAGCAGCACTAAACACTGCCACCATATTTTCTTTAATTCATAACCCTTTTGTTCACCCGGATTTATTTCAAAGTCTAAGCTAAAAAATTTGTTCATCTTACTTCCCCAGCGCCTTCATGTTCTAGAAGGAACTAAGAACTAATGCAAGGCCACAAAAAACGAAGTTTTAATGTCAGTTCATACATAAACTCAGTATACTCTTGAGCCTCTGTATAATTAGTAGGCCAAAGCTTATTATGTACATTTCTAGTAGCCAGCAGAAATGAAAGAATTCACATTTAGTGCTCAGAACTGCAAAAGTATCTTAGCAGTTTCACTACCTTTTATAACTAATGAATCTGAATCTCCTATTAGAACTAAATGCTATAACCAAAGACAATAATCGTAGCAACTGATTTTAACTGTAACTAAAACAAAACTAAAAGAGCAGGTAACAAAAACTGTTATTCCAAATTTTAAAGCATCAAAAAGGGTAATGATTATGACGCCATTACCTGCTTTTCTATTTACTTCTTCTTTTACTGCTTATCAACTTAATCTTTGTTCACAAAAACCAGTGAATTTTGTTTAATGTAAGCAGAAGAAAGAAAAGGAAAAAACAGACAACACCTACAATATGAATACCCAAAAATGGAGCATATCATATCAGCATAGTATTATGCCCCATCAGCAGCACCAACAATAAACCATCAACAATGATCAGAAATTATAGTAATTCAAAAAGACATTTTAATTCTTGGTTATTTGTAGCCCCATTGTAAGCTATTAAAAT